ATTCAGGACCAAATGGATGAGCTTGAAGGACATTAAGTAAAATAAGCAAGGCACAGAAAGATAAATAATGCATGTTCTTACTCAAATGTAGACGCTAACAAAATTGATCTGCCAGCCATGGTGGCCCACACCTGTAACACCAGTACTTTGGGAGAGTGAGGCAGAAGGATCTCTTGAGCCCAGGAGTTCAAGACCAGCCTAGGCAACATAGTAAAACCCCATCTTGAAAGAAAGAAAAGAAAAGCAAGAAAAGGAATGGAAAGAAAAGAGAAAAAAAAAAAGAAAAAGGAAGGAAGGAAGGAAGGGAGGGAGGGAGGGAGGGATGGAGGGAGGGAGGGAGGGGAAGGGAGGAAAAAGAAAAGAAAGAGGAAAGAAAGAGAGAAAAGAGAAAGAGAAAGAAAGAAAGAAAGAAAGAAAGAAAGAGAAAAGAAAAGAAAAGAAAGAGAAAGAGAGACAAAGAAAGAAAGAGAGAAAAGAAAAGAAAGAAGAAGGAGGGGAGGGGAGCAGAGGGGAAGGGAGGGAAAGGGAAAGGGAAGGGGAAAGGGAAGGAAAGGAAGGAAGGATTAGCCAAGTATGGTAGCTCATGCCTATAGTTCCAGCTACTTGGGAGGCTGAGGCAGCAGGATCAATTGAGGCGGGAGTTGGCAGCCACAATGAGCTATGATCGCACCACTACACTCCAGCCCCAGTAACAGAGTGAAGACCTGACTCAAAAAAAAACAGTTGCTCTCATAGAAGCAGAGAACCGTGGTTACTTTAAGCTGGGAAGGGTGAGGCGGGTAGGAAGTTCTTGGTTAACACAGTGGTCACCAACCTTTTTGGCATCAGGGACTGGTTTTGTGGAAAACAATTTTTCCACAAGATGGCGTGGGGATGGTTTCATCAACAGGCATTAGATTCTCATAAGAAGCAGGCAACCTAGATACCTTGCATACACAGTTCACAACAAGAGTTTGTGCGCCTATGAGAATCTAGTGGCATCACTAATTTGACAGGAGGCAGAGCTCAGGCTGCAATGCTTACTCGCCCATTGCTCATCTCCTGCTGTACGACCAGTTCCTAAGTCTACAGACCAGTGATAGTCCACAGCCCAGGGTTGGGGACCCCAGGGTTAACAAAATTACAGCTAAACAGGAGGAAAACATTCTAGTATTCTATAGCACCGTAAATGATTACAGTTAATAGTAGCTTAATGTATATTTTCAAACAGCTCAAAGAGCAGGTCTTGAATTTGTTTCTAACATGAATAAATAATGCTTGAGGTGATGGATATGCTAATTACCCTAATTTGATCATTATTCATTATGTGTACCCAAATACCACACTGTGCCCCCATATAGGTAAATTATTATGTCAATTAAAAATAAACAAGAATAACCCTAATAAAACATTCAAATAAAAAAGTAACCTATGACTTTTTTGCAGCGAAATTTAATATTTTAATAATGAACATAGTGTTTAATGTTAACTATACTATAAATTACCAAAATTGGAGGTATCTGTGCCTTCATTATATAAAAATATTTTATTACGGCAATATGATTTAAGGTATTAACCTCTGAAACCACGTTTGTCATATCAAACCATAAGTGGTCTCAAATATATCTTAATGTCCACATAATTAAAACAATAGAACTAATTCAATCTGACCCTTATTAAAAAGCAAAAAAGGGCAAGAAAATACGGAAATTGTTTCAAGATTTCAAACAATATATAGAGCAATCCTGAAATTCTGTAGACAGTACAGCAGCAAATCTACTTTGAAAAGCACTGCTGACAATGAACCTCTTTCCACAGCAATACACAATTGATTCCATGAAAACGGCAGAAGCTGCTAAATGTTTACAGATTAACACCAAAGACAGATAAGTCGACTGTAACTGAAAAAAACATGAACAAACAACAAAAATCGTTAGTTTTTTTTTTTCCCTTCCCATTTTCCTAAGATCTTTAAATCAAGAGTTTCAAGCGTGTTTAAAAAACATGCTCACAAAAATAAAAAAAATTTAAAAAAAGAACAAAAAACATGCTTACATTGTGATATGCTAGCATTTCTTATTTTGATAAACAATGCACCCTCCTAAACTAGGACATAAAGTCAGAATATGCTATTATAATTTCTGAAAAAAGAACATGCACAATTTATTACAATTCTGAATACTCATCTAAAATATTTAAAGACAAAAAAATGGAGCACCACCTCCTACTCAAAAAATTATCCTTCCAAATTTCCATTTTTATATCTGACATCAAAAAAAGTTTAAAGTTTCCTTAGGTCATTTTAAAAATAAAATATTGTTTCATTTTTAAAAAGTTGCTAATGCCTGGTTAATACTGCAGTTGTAAATGATATGAAACTTCTCATGCGATGTTTTAGTCCACTTTCAGTTGCTTATAACAGAATATCAGAAACTAGGTAATTTATAAAGAAAAGGAATTTATTTCTTACAGTTACGGAGACAGAGAAGTCCAAGGTTGAGAGACCAGATCTGGTGAGAGCCTTCTTGCTGGTAGATGATCTGTACGGAGTATGGAGGCAGCATAGGATGTCACATGACAAGAGGGCTGAGCATGCTAACATGCTTACTCAGATCTCTCTTCCTTTTCTTATAAGCCACCAGTTCCACACTCCTATAACTCATTCATCCATTAACCCAATAATATATCAATCTATGAGTGGATTAATCAATTCGTAAGAACAGAGTACTCGTGATCCAGTCTCCTCTTAAAGGCCCCACATTGGAGATTCAATACTGTCACACTGGGGATTAAGTTTCCCACATATGAAATTTGGGGGACACATTTGAATTATACTATGTGGCAAAAGCTACTCTTAATCTTTGTTATTTAAAGCTAGCGAACTAATGGCCAGGCACAGTGACTCATGTCTGTAATCAAAGCGCTTTGGGAGGCCGAGACAGGAGGATCACTTGAGGCCAGGAATTCAAGACCAACCTGGGCAATAAAGCAACTTCATATCTATTTTTTAAAAATATAGTAAGATAAAATAAAATGAAATAAAGCTAAGGTATCATTTCTAAAAAACACTAAATGCAATTTCACTATCTGAGAAAAATAGCTTTCTTGTGGAAATTACTAATAAAGACATCAAGAGACGTTTTCATTTACCTACAATAAGAAGTGATTATCTTCATATTAGCACTTTCTAATCTTTTCAAAAAGGATAGAAGAAATCAACATTTCTCTCAGTGGAGAAGAACCACAAATTCTTGGATATGTAAATCTATGTCAATCATAGATTAATTATGCCAAGTATTTCATGACTAATAGGAGAGAAAGAATGCTGACCACTAGGCAAGGAGAGGATGTTTATCTGACATTCATATTGATATGGATACAATGGGCATTCCCAATTACAACTAGTAACAATGATTTCTTAGGAAAGCTAATGTTCAAAGAACTTTGTACATCACTGATTATCCCATTTTTATCTATTATACTTTTTGAAAAGAAAGACCTATTCTCTTAAATTGCCTAGTTAGAAAGCACTCTTTATGCAATAATGTTAATCGATCATGATTTCTAAATATTGTAATAATGCTCTTTTTAAATTTTCTGCACAATGTGACAGTTTTTTTGAATCACAGCCACTCCATCCTCACCCACACACAGGATCAGAGATTAAAACAAATGATTCTTTATACTCTCTTAAAAATAAATCTAGACTTTGGAAAATTACACAGTAATGTACAAGCATATAAAAACTCAGTGTCAGAAGCCATTTGAATAATTGCAGGGAGCTCTCTGGAGGTATCCGCCTGTAATTTAAGGACCAACTATGGATGTAAACCGAGAGAGACAATGATACTATCGTTATGCACCACGAAATTTTCCTAAGAGCTTTGATCAGATTCCCCTAAATAGTTTATGGATGTCTCTGTATGCAATCATAGGCGCTGACCGAGAAAAGTTAAAATGAAAATAATCAGGGCTGTTATCTGTCTGAACATACACAAATTTGGTTTATCAATGTGAAAGTAGATGTGCAAAACCCAAACGTCAAAAGGTGGCCTACGGTATTTTCATGACAGAGAATCTTTGTTAGGTTTGTTAATGCAGCACGTACATGGGAGGCTAATGTAATTAGTTTCCTTCTCAGAGAGATACTAGGAAGTTGAATGACTGTACCCCGGGGAGACACACAAGTCAATCTAGGGACCATTTTGTCGCCCACCCTCACCTCACTCCTTTCCTCCCCACACATAGACATGCACTCTCCTATCACATTTGAAGCCCCGGTGGGCAGTTTTCTAGGGTAGTTTCACTGGTGCATTAAATGGGATCTGACGCCACCGGGCAGCCTGAGGTTGGATGCCACAGCTGCCAGCGCCCACCGCTCACCTCCAGCTTGTGGTTGATTTGAGACACAGTCTGGGCTTTGTGGCAAAGCTGTGCAAAGCAGGAGCTCAGGCTGGTCATCTTCTGCCGCCCCTCATAAGTAATGTCCGCCTGGTCGGGATCGATCTCGCCCAGGAGCAGATCCACATCCACAAATGCCTTGTCGAATTCCTTCTCCAGCACCTCCAGCCACCGGAACATGGATACCCCGCCGGGGGAGACACCCACGGAGCAGGAGGCGCCCCCTGGGCCCCCTCCGGCTGCTGCTGGGCATGGGCCGCCCGCCGACATGGCGCCGTCAAGGGCCTCTCCCGACTGCTGAAGACCCTCGCCGCCCACCCTGCACGAGGGGAACTGCTGGGACTGACGGGACCTCCACGCGCGCACTCACGCTCCGTCACCTCCCTTCACCTCGCGCTGGTAACGCCAGCTACAGAACCCCAGAACCGCAAGAGTAACGAGGACGAGGCTGAGGCGGCAGCGGCGGCAACACACGGAAACCTTGGACCCTCCCACCTCCCAGCCCGCCCCCGCTGCGCATGCGTAGCGAAGAGCTGAGCGGACGCAGTCAGGAGGGACAAAATGGGCGGGGCCAGGAAGCAATCTTGGCCTATGAAAGGCCTCAGCTTGGGACCGCCCTGTCAGCGGCCATATTGACAACTGGCAAAGTACTGCTTGAATCCCTGAGAAACGGAGGCGCGTGGTTTCTGCATCCTGGTTGGAAAGACCCGAGGATGAGAAAAGTGTCCACGTCGCAGAAAGGAAGGATTTCCGCCGGTTTGACTTAACAGTTGGCGGGAGCCGTTCCAAAGTCTTCCCAGAAAGTCTGCTGCGGTGGCATCCACAGTTAGGGAGGGGAAGAGGGAGGAAAGGCGGTGTGAGCATGCGCAATAACCACGTTTTACCTTTTAGATTCCAGTTTCAGGTTAGGAAGGAGTGGGTGTACACTCTGGCTGTTCTTGGCAAACCAGACCCCAAATTCTAGGTTTGGATTGCCTAAAGCTGCGTATTGAAGCTACTGACCAGATTTTGCGAATTAATGGAAGACTTTTTGTCTTGTAATTAAGAGCCGGGTGGACCTGGCTTCAAGGCTGACACTCAAGTCACATAATAGCTGTGTCACCTTACATGTATTAGTTAACCTCGAAACCAAGTTTCCAAATTTTACTTAACTCAGTTGTAAGGTAAAATGCTTAGCGTCACTTCTTGGCACACGGTAGTCCTCTTAATACACCATAGGCCACACATTTCAAAAGCAACTACGGTAATGTTTCACTTAAGATGGGGATATGTTCTTACTAATGCGTCCTTAGGTTATTTCATCCCTTAGGGAACATACTAGAGTGTATTTAAACACAAACCTAGATAGTATAGCTTACGACACCTCAAGGCTATATGATGTAGCCTATTGCTCTTAGGCTACAAACCTGTGCAGTATGTTGCCATTCTCAATACGGTAGGCAATTATAACACAGTGGTAAATATTTGTATGTCTAATCATATCTAAACAATAGACAAGGTACAGTAAAAACATGGGATACTTTAAAAGGTGTATTTATTTGAAAACGGGTATAGTGTCCCCACAAGTGACATTTCAGAAAATCAAAATTGTGAATTCATATATTTATATATATATTGAATGCAGAGCTCTGTTGAGACATTGAAGACACAAAAATGAGTGAGACATGACCTTTACTCAAGCTCGGATAGGCTAGTGAGGCTACTCTCAACTATAACCTTAACTTGAATTCTTCAGTGCCTTTGAAAGTGTTCAGCAACTCCTCTCTTTACATTCTGCCTACTTCCACTTCAAGGATAGACAGCCCTGGAAAGGGAAAGAGAAACCTGTGTGATTAGAGAAGGCTGGTAGAAACTCTCTCCTGTATTGCCTAGAGGGATATTTTGCTGGCTGAGTACAGTCTGCTGTTACATGTTCTTGGGACAGACCCCTTCCAGTTAATCACCCCAAACCCTGCACTGTGTGCCACTTCGCCAATGCAAGGCCACTGAGGAGCAAGAAATCATACTGCAGGGCAGACTGGTTAGTATGAAGCAATAAAGTCCTTTGGCTTGAGCAGACTTAACTAATCAAAACGAATCACAAGATCCTGACCTTACACTTAAGTAGGGACCTTCACACAGGTTTTAGAACACAATAAATAATGTAAAACTAAAATTTGCATCTTTTCCCATTCCCTTCCAAAATTAACTTTATTTTCATCTGCAGTATTTGCAAATACATCATTGTTACAGCTATTAAGCTCCCAGCCACTTTCGCTACACATGATACAGTAGCAATGCATTTTCAGGAACTTGAAGTAAATAATTTAAAGTTATCAGGGCAGGGGGAGAATACATGGAACCACAATTATAATAGCTTTCAATTATTGAGTCCTTACTATGTGTTAGTGATTGTGCTATTTGCTTTACTTCTTTGATCCTTACAAAATCCTGTAAGGTAGGTATGATCACGTATTTTATTGTTGTTGTTGAGACAGGATCTCACTCTGTTGTCCACACTGGAGTGCAGTGACAGAATCATGGCTCACTGCAACCACACTTTGTTGACCAGGCTGGTCTGGAACTCTTGGGCTCAGGCAGTCCTTCTTAGGCCTTTTAAAGTGCTGGGATGACAGGTGGGAGGCACCACACCCATCAATCACTTTTTAACAGATAAAGTCACAGATAGCTTAAGTGTCTTTGTAGGGTCAAAAGCTAGAAAGTGATTGAGGTAGTATATCAATCTAGGTGTCTTTCTTCTAAGTTATTGCTGTTGACCATGGAATACAAAAGAATGAATCTATTTCTTCTTGAATAAGTTACCAGTATAATTTGGCAAGTCAGTTCCAAAAGTTCTTTTTAATTTCTTCATAGTTAGAAACCACACACAAATCTATTAACATAAAGAAATATTACCAAAAAATTATAATAACTCATTTTCTATTATTTATAACTAATTTATATGAACCACACTTGAATGTAAATTTAATTTCTTTCAAAAAAATCAACTTCCAGCTACATTGTGTGGGTGCAGCTGAGTGACATTTTAAGTGTTTATGTTTCCAGTGCTCCAATGGTTTGTGGGTACCATTCAAGATTGCAGAACCCAGTTTAGTATCTGTTACAACCCTTACAACTTCAACAAGTCATATCTTCTGTGTCTCAGACGAGTTTCATGTCATGTTGTCTCTTCTCATTACCATAGTACGTAGACATATCTTTTGCCCGCCTTGATTGCGGTTATGCAAATCTGCAAGTCACAGCAAAACATGGATGTGAAAAGGAGGGCTTATCATCAGAGGTTGATGTTCAAGTGCTGCCATCTGTTGTCCGTGTACTCTATCTGCACTTACTGCCTTATCCTTACTGTGGAAGTTGAGTTTGTATGTAATGTCAATACTTCAGTGATTTGTTTTTCCACAGATATTAAAGTCTCGATACTTCTATTTGCAGTTGGATTGGCAGAAGCTTCCAATAACTGTTTTATGAATAATGCTTATGTGATTTTTTAAAAATATAACTCAAATGTGATACTCTTGTTTTAGGAATTTATCCCTACAGAGTTTTGTCGCAAGGTATTACTAAGAATAAATAGGGTGGGGACTGAGGAAATTGGGGAAAGAGAGAAGATGTTAAGGATTTCTTTGATAGGTACTGGTAATTAACTGTGGGGTCAGTGTATAGTTTAAATATTTATGGAGCATCACTGATTGCAAAGGCACTGTAATAAAAGGGTGTATAAGACTCACCTTGGACTGGAGAGGGAGATGATCACTTATTGAACTCTGTGTCCCAGGCCCTGTACTAAACTTCACGTTTCATTTAGTTTCCAGTAATCCTACCAAGAGAAGGGGTTAAGTATATGCTGTTGGTGGCTATAATGAGTTGCGTGTGTGATGAAGAAAGTAAAAATCCACTAGCATTTTACTTACTCAATGTAGGAAAGTCTTGAGTGTTGTATTCATACATATTATTTATATTTCTTAAATGTATTATTCATATCTACTAACAATTTAAAATTTTCAGATACATATGCTAAAAAAGTAAGTTTAGGAATCCAAAGTGTTTTATTAGGCTTATTCTTCTGATTATCTTATATAAATAAATGGATTCGGGTGTGGTGGTGTGCACCTGTTTACACAGCTACTCAAGAGGCTAACGTGGGAGGATCTCTTGAACCCAGGAGTTTGAGACCCTCCTGGGCAACATAATGTGACCATGTCTCAAAAACAAACAAAAAACAGGACAACTTTTTGCTCACTTGTTCTTACAACTTGGGAATTTGGGTGCAGTGATTTAGAATGAGCTCAGATACCTCCCATTCCAGGAAGCCTTCTTTCTCCTCATATGATGCTTTGGGTTCCATCCCCAATTAGTTTCCTGTAAATATTTTTTACAGCACTTACCATATTATTTTGGAGCCCGTTAGACTGTGTCCTTGGCAACAATAACTGTATCTTATCTTTGTATCCCATGTCCTAACACAGGACCTAGAATGTGGTAGGAATGCCGTAACTATTTGTGGGATGACTTCAATAATTAAGGCATTCAAGCGTTCTACCTAAGAAACTCTGAAACAGTCACTTCACTTGTCAAGACATACTTGTGATACATGCTAGAGAGCATAGCTAAATATTAATTTATTTTTATATTGCCTCAGAGGTTAGGATATCTATAAATTAAATATTAGTCTTTATTTTTTCAAACCAAAAGATAACGTTTTATTTTATAATGATCTGGTTTATTTGACTAATAAATCCATTATAATTTAGGCTTCAAGGATTCTTTTGCCTATTCCATTGTTAAGATTTACTAGATGCTATGTTTGGAAAGTATATTCAACCTAAAACCAAATATAACAGCTTTATTAAAAACCCTTGTTGCGGCCAGGCACGGTGGCTCACGCCGCCTGTAATCCCAGCACTTTGGGGGGGCCTGGGTGACTGGATCACGACGTCAGGAGATGGAGACCATCCTGGCCCTGGTGAAATCCCATCTCTACTAAAATACAAAAAATTAGCTGGGCATGGTGGTGCATGCCTGTAGTCCCAGATACCCTGGAGGCTAAGGCAGGGGAATTGCTTGAATCCGGGAGACGGAGATTGCAGTGTGCCGAGATCATGCCACTGCACTCCAGCCTGACAAAAGAGCAAGACTCCGTCTCCAAAAAAACAAAACAACAAACCCTTGTTGCTATATTTTTATTTCCTTATGCTATCAAAGATGGATTTTAACTGCTTTTCTCCTGTTAACCTGAGGTACATTCTTCATCTACCACTTCCCACAGCTCCAGGTTTGCTTCAGCTTTGTCTGAAACCACCGTTTATCAACAGTAGTATCAGAGTTTCCTACTCAAGTTTTCTTCTTCTTTCATCCACTGTCAAGCCACTGTTTATTTCTCAAGTGAGAGAGTTTAAGGATCAAACGTAGACTTCCCCCATCAGAATCTGTTATTTATGGTTTTTATAAATTAGTCCATTAAGGACCTCCCAAACGGTTACACTCCAAATCCCCTTAACATGAATTATTTTTTCAAGTTTTGATTGAAAAGTATAAGAATAAGATATCTAATTAGAATTTTGGCTGATGGTGGTGGTTCACACCTGTATTCCCAGCACTTTGAGAGGCTGAAGCGGTCGGATCACCTGAAGTCAGAAGTTCGAGACCAGCCTGGTCAACATGGTGAAACCCTGTCTCTACCAAAAATACAAAAATTAGCTGGGCATGGTGGCATGCACCTGTAATCCCAGCAACTCGGGAGGCTGAGGCACGAGAATTGCTTGAATCCAGGAGGTGGAGGTTGCAGTGAGCCCACATCATGCCATTGCACTCCAGCCTGGGTAACA